CAGAGGACTGGAATTCGCGTGGGTCAGAGGAGGTGAGGGCGCCAGTGACCGTCCCTCCGAGGCCTGCGACAGCCCGGAGTTCTCTCCGATGACTGTTGCATGATCAGTTTCAGCGAGGTCCAGTGGTTTAAAGTCTGAAGCCCACCTTCGCGGGGCAGAAGGGACGCAGCTGCGGACGACAAATGTGGGCGCTGCGGACAGGGAGCTACTGCTCCCCGCTAGCCGCGAGAAGAATTAGTGCAGTATTTACATGCTAATGAAGTCTCTGTTCATAAATATTACATTTTCCTCTGCCTACGGGGGAGGCAGCTGAGCACTAGCCAGCTTTGTTTTCCAAAGGGCCACATGTAAACCCCTAGGCCGGATGTGCGGCATCTTCAGGACCGCAGGCCTCCAGACAGCTGGGCCGGGTGCGGAGAGTCCTTAAGCTAGGAGCCCTGCGTGCTGGTGGCCTGTTCCCAGGGGAAGGACCCCAAATTCTCAGGGCCGGTAGGAGCTGCGGGGACAGCGAGCTCCGGCCCTGCCCCAGGCGAAGCTAAGTCTCGGGAGCAAGCCTCATCGTGGGCGCGTGTGGCCTGGGAGGGGACCGCAGGGGGAGTCCAGGGTCGTGGGGGGCGTCCCTGCTGGGGGTGCTGGCCGGTGAGCGCGCTGCAAAGCCGGGAAATGTAGCAGGGGTGCCTCATTCGAAACTCCCCAAGAGATTCTGGCGCGGAGGGGTGTGGTCTGGAGGGGGCTCGGTTGTGTCCCGGGGGCGTGGTCTGGAGCTGGAGTGACGGATCCTGAGGGCGTGGCCTGTTGCAAGGCAGCCCAGGCTTTAGGCGGGAGGTGGCTGAAAGGACCAGTTGAGCGTTTTAGGAATGTCTCTCTGGCACCTGAGGGGAAGGAGAAACTGGAGAAAAAGAGCCTCCATCAGGAGGGGATTTCAGAAATGCGCGGAAAAGGAAAAACCTGTATCAAAGCGACAACATGGGCAAGGAGGGAAGGGGATGGACTCCAGAGGCATTGGGGACCGGTCTCCTGGATCTGAGGTCGACGGGATGTCGGGGGCGAGGGGCAGGGAGGACCCTGAACGCTCAGCAATCAAGGCCCTGTCAGTGACACCCGGACCCCAGGCTGCTGTCGAGGCCGGGTTGGCGCGGCAGACTTTTCACCCCCTATTTCCCAAAACTGGACAGTGACCCTCAGGAGTCCGTCCTTAGTCAGCGACGCTTTGGATACTAAGAGCCACAAATC